AGAATTTTTAGGTCTTCTTCATTCAACTTTGGCAATTCATACATATCTAGGAATCTGTCCTTTTCTTCTGTGTTTTCCATCTTATTGGTGTATAGGCTCTGGAAGTAGATAATTGATGATCCTCTGGATTTCTGCTAGGTTTGTTGTAATTTCACCCTTTTCATTCCTAATTGCATGGATTTGGGCCTTTTCTTTCCTTTCCCTGGTAAGTTTGGCTAAGGGTTTGTCAATTTTGTTGATTCTTTTAAAGAACCAACTCTTGGCTTCCTTGATTTTTTTTGTGTTGTTCTCTTAGTCTCCATTGCATTGATTTCTGCTCTGATCTTTATGATTTCCTCCCTTGTATGAGCTTTGGGTTTGTCCTAGTCTTCTTTTTCTAGAAGCTTAAGGTTGAGCATCAGGTTGTTTAATTGGGCTTGCTCTGCTTTCCTAATATGTGTATTCACTGCTATGAATTTCCCTGGTAAGACTGCTTTCATTGTGTCCCTTAGATTCCAATATGTTGTATTGTCATTGTCATTTAATTGAAGGAACTGTCTGATTTCTTCTTTAATTTCCCCTGTGACCAGTGGTTATTCAGAAGTGTGTTGTTCCATTTCCATGTGTTTGTGAAATTTTTGCGGTTTCTTTTGCACTTCTTTTTTGGTTTCATCGCACTATGGACTGATAATACAGAGGATAACTTCAAATCCTTTGCACTTACTTGAATATGTTCTATGAGCAAGGATGTGGTCTGTTTTGGAGAATGACCCATGTGCAGCTGAAAAGAATGTGTATTCTGGGGCAGGGGATTTAGCTCAGTGGTTTTGCTGCCTGCTGCGCAAGCACAAGGACCCAAGTTCAATCCCCAGTACCAAAAAAAAAAAAAGAACCCAAAACCCCCAAGAATGTGTATTCTGATATTATGGGGTGGAATACTCTGTAAACATCTGTTAAGTTCATTTGTTCAAGAGTTCAATTGAGTTTTAGTATTTCATTACTTATTTTTTGTCTAGTTGATCTATTTGTGACAGTGGGGTGTTGAGGTCCCCCACTACTATCCTATTAGTGCATATATGACTTTTCATGTCCATTTGTATTTGTTTTATATATTTGGGCGCACTAGTGGTTGGTGCATTGATATTTTTGATTGTCATCTCTTCCTGTTGGATTGTTCCCTTTACAAGGATGTAGTTTCGTTCTTTGTCTCTCTTAATCAGTGTTAGTTTGAAATCCACTTGATCTGCAGAGAGGATAGCTGCTTCTGCTTTTTTTTCGGGTTCCTGTCGCATGGAGTATTGTTTTCCACCCTTTAACTTTCCATCTATGAGTTTCTTTTTAAATTAAGTGTGTTTCTTCTGTGCAGCATATTATTGGATCTTATTTCTTGAACCATTCTGCCAGTCTATTCCTTCTGACTAGTGAATTGAGACCATTAACATTGATGGTTTTAACTGATACGTATTGACTTATCATTGTCATGACTTTTTCTTTTTGTTGGGTTCTCCCCCTTTACATTTAATTTCTTGTTGCGCCCAATGGGTACATTCTGCTGTGCTTCCTAGGGTTGTGATCCTCATTGTCTTTTCCTAGGATATTGTCTAAAATTTTTTGGACTGCTGGTTTGGTATTCATGAAGTTCCTAAGGTGCTCTTTGTCATAAAAGTGTCTTATTTCTCCATCAAATTTGAAAGATAGTTTTGCAGGGTACATCAGTTTGGGTTATAGGCCAGTTTCTTTTTAGGGCTTGGAATATGTCACTCCAAGCTCTTCTTGCCCTGATGGTTTGTGTTGAGAAGTCTGCTGTGATTCTGATGGGCTGTCCTGTGTATCTGATTTGTTTCTCTTCTCTAACTGCTTATAGAACTTTGTTCTTCTGTTGGGTTTCTGGAATCTTAACAATTATATGCCTATGTGTAGGTTTTTTTTGATCAAGGCTATGAGTCCTGTATGCCTCACTTATCTGTATGTCAAGTTCTTTTCCGCTGCTTGGAAAGTTTTCTGCCATTACTTCTGTGAACAGTTTTTTATGTCTGCACTCTCTCCTGTTCCTTCGTTGACTCCAGTGAGTCTTAGGTTATTCTTCTTTGCATCATCTAGCAGCTGCTGGATTGATTTCTCATGGTCCCTTACAATTTTGAAGCAAGTTTTCTTTTTCTGGTCACTAATTGTAATCTTCTGTATCTGAAATTCTGCCCTCACATTCACTCATTCTGCTGTGTAGACTTTCAGTGGAGTTTTTAATCTCCTGGAAATCTGTCTGCATCTGTTTTATGGATTCCCTTTGTTTCCTGTGTTGGGATTCCATCAT